ATATTTTATTAAATGTCATTGCTGATTTCACAAATCTTACTAAGGTAAAACCAAATAAAGCAATTTACAGCAGTTTGTGGACAAGACCAAGAGCAGGACATTGTACATTTAGAATGGTCTTGTAAGAAGTAGATGTTCTGCTTGGTTTCCACAAGTCCTTCTTCATGAACCCATTGTTTTGTCTCAGATATGTTAAAAAGCTTTCCTATAGCCTTCAGGAACCATCTTGTTCAATGTTACAAACCATCTCTTCAGCTGTTCACCCAATGAAGCTCTTCTCCTGGCTGGAAGCTTGTCTGATGGTGCCATTTGCTCTTACATAGATTCCAGACAGACATGACACAATACCAAGATGAACCAAGAGCTTTAAGGAAATCCTGATCCACTATCTTCAGATTTTGCACAATGTTGGGTAAAAGGGAAAGGAAGAAGGTCATCTCCCCAGCATCAGCACTACAGAAAAGCATTGTGCTGCCCTTGATTTCTGTGGGGAAAGCTGGATTGAAAAAACAGCCCTTTGACTCTGCATCTTAATTGGAAGGAAATAATATTACTAGCAAATATGCAACACTTCCTCCTTTCCTTAATTTAATTTTGAATTCCAAATTGTTGCTTTTCCATTACAATCAAAATTATTTTCATAAAGGCAGCTAACATGACAAGACATTCACAGTTCTGAAACTAAATTGTGCTTGATATAGATTTAGCAGATCTCCATGTTCTGATGCCTCTTTTTTTTTTTTTTAAACTATTCTTTTAACAAATGACAAATTAACAATTTAATTTAATTTTAAGCAAATTAAGTAACACATTAACAAGTTAGGCTGCTTCCAATTCAGTTTGGATGTTGGGTATGTATTTGTTGCCTCAGGGGCTGATAGCTATAAGGTGAATATACACCTTAGAAATATATTACTTGCCTTATTGATTAAGACTGATCAATACATTGGGTAAATAATGTATAAAGAATATTGATCCTTGCAAATAAAAATATCCCAGCTGCAATTTTAAGAACAGGCTGCAGTCCTATAAACATTAATCTGGGAGTAAGCCTCATCGAACCCAAGGGGATGGCTCTGAAAATTCATTGTGGATTGCACCAAATCAGCCTTCATCATGACATGAAACTGGAATTCAGGCAGTTAATTTTTATCAGAAATCTTAGAAAGAATTATCAGGATTTTGTCTCCCTTAAAGGATCATTGTGCAGACTATCAGCTATATTAACTGTATGTCATTTCCTGAATGCCAGTATTTAGATTAATAAAGTAATTCCACAAGAATAGGGTCATCTCAAGATTTGTTTTCTGCTTATTTAGTATTTATTTATAATAATACAGTAACCATGTATTTAGACTAGCTCAGCCTAGAGTTCCCACTTGAGGGACAAATGACCAGACTCAAATTATTGTACTTCAGACACATTATGCGAAGACCCAGCTCTCTGGAGAAAGTTCTAATGCTGGGAAAGGTAGAAGAAAGAGAAGGAGAGGATGACCAGCAGCAAGGTGGATAGATTCTGTCAGAGTGGTGATGGGTGCACCATTGGAAGACCTGGAAATCCAGATTAGGGACAGATCATCATGGAGAAAAATCTATCTTTGTGGTCACTAGGAATCAACAATGTCTTGATGGGACATAATCAATCAATCAATCAATCAATCAATCAATCAATTTTGACTGGCACTTTACCAGCTTAACATTCATTTTTTTCTAGTTTTGTGAAAGATCCTCTTATGACTTTCACACATCCTGTGAATTGACAGAAGATGTATTATCATGTATTACCCCAAGTTTTATACCGAAAGAAATTTTTCGGAGAAAATTTCCCTGAAAGTATCCAATAGAGATGGAAGATACATGAGAAGAAATATTCTAAACAGGGGTCCACTTATGTATTTTTTAAAAAAAATTATATCTGTTTTTAAGGGGGGGATGGTCCTTTATTATGCTTTGTTGGCATTCTGAAAATTAATCTTAATCTGTTTGATTCCGGTGAGTCCTTGGCTCCAGCTGATTGATTCATCAAGGGTGTCTATCTTTAGTTTTGCATTGGATTTATACTCCTTTCTCTCTCCTCCCCTCCTCACTCTCACTCTCACTCTCACTCTCACCCTAACCTTCACTTTCACTTTTATTTTTGCCACTCAGAGGGTAGACTCAGAGGGTAGATGAAAAATTCAGAAGGATAGATAGATAGATAGATAGATAGATAGATAGATAGATAGATAGATGATAGATAGA